GTTAACTCTGCTCAATGTAACACAGGTCTAAGGCCATTGAAGAATACTTGTAATTGGAATCAATATAACACAGGATAGCTAAGGTCATCGCAAAATAAAGTGAACTTTAACGAACATAACACAAAACTTAGGCCAACGCAGAAGTCAATGAAATACAGGATAGCTAAGACTATTGCAGAAATAGAATAATGTTAACTTTACTCATCTTAACACAAGAAAGCTAATGTTATCGCAGAATCTGAATATTGTTAACATAACTTACGATACGATATCTAGGGCCAACTCAAGATTGGGATAATGTTAACTTTACTCATCTTATTAAACACAGGATAGCTAATGTCATCGCAAAATCTGAATAATGTTAACATAACATGCGATATCTAAGGTCATCTCAAGATCGGGATAATGTTAACTTTACTCATCATAACACAGGATACCTATGGTGATCAAAATCAAATCAGTGGTTTTCGACCCAGTATTCACGGAGCTTCGAAGAGCTGCTTTGTCCTCCGGGGAGCTCCCAGGAGTTTTGCATGATATGCAAATTTATGCAAGAATATTCATGAGCTGAAATTCAGTGCAGCGCCTCGTTTTCATATTTAACTTGTGCTTTGATGACAAAATGGAACTATGTGTCCATGCAAATTTTGGGTCTGAAGTTCAAATACTTTCTCCAAGTCAGGTAATAATACTACCTCCATGTGTAAATTTCACAAAACTACGAGCCGTAAATATTTGCTGTGTCACGATGCATTGTTGTTGGATGACTTGCACTACATCTTGCTCTGATTTGAATAAACATAACATTACGCCAAATCATTAAAATCAAACAGGGTTAATATAATTAGGATGTCTTTGTTGACTTGGACGCACTGGTACTAAATACAAATTTGGAAATCTCTAACAGGACAGAAATCTTGGGTCCCTGAACTTTGAACCAATTTCTATTAATTTTTCAAACACCTGGCAGTAGCAGTTTTTCTACTTGACTAGTTGAATCTGTTCATATTTGCACAGAAAAAAAAAATCCTTTCCGGGTGACCTCATTAAAAGCTATTTAGTGAAAGTGGAGCTCCACGGAGGATATGGTAGCTTCCCTGGATACCGAACTGGAAACCACTTGTTTGATTGTGATCACCTCTCTAAGGCCATTGCAGAATTGGTATAATGTTAACTTCAATAAACATAACATGTGATAGCCAAGGCCATTGCAGAATTGGTATAATGTTAACTTCAATAAACATAACATGTGATAGCCAAGGTCACAGCAGAATTGGTATAATGTTAACTTCAATAAACATAACATGCGATAGCCAAGGCCATTGCAGAATAGGTATAATGTTAACTTCAATAAACATAACATGCGATAGCCAAGGTCACCGCAGAATTGGTATAATGTTAACTTCAATAAACATAACATGCGATAGCCAAGGCCATTGCAGAATTAGTATAATGTTAACTTCAATAAACATAACATGCGATAGCTAAGGCCATTGCAGAATTGGTATAATGTTAACTTCAATAAACATAACATGCGATAGCCAAGGTCACCGCAGAATTGGTATAATGTTAACTTCAATAAACATAACATGCAATAGCCAAGGTCACCGCAGAATTGGTATAATGTTAACTTCAATAAACATAACATGTGATAGCCAAGGTCACCGCAGAATCGGAGTAATGTTAACTTCAATAAACATAACATGTGATAGCCAAGGTCACCGCAGAATCGGAGTAATGTTAACTTCAATAAACATAACATGTGATAGCCAAGGTCACCGCAGAATCGGAGTAATGTTAACTTCAATAAACATAACATGTGATAGCCAAGGTCACCGCAGAATCGGAGTAATGTTAACTTTACTGCATGCCCTACACATAATATTAGATAAAACATGGCTATGTAATAGTTAGTTACTATATATTAATAATGTGATCTATGCACCAGAACTGTGAGTCATTAACAAAGCATCCATTACCCTGGCTTAACACACGTTTAGTTTCACTTTATAAACATCCAGTAGTGGATAAGTAACTATTACCTGTTCAGGTCTGTAATCAGAAATTGAGCAGTAATTTAACTATAGTATAGTTAGTATAGCAGCATTGTCTGAATCACGCAGTTTAGAAAACTATAGTAAACACCCACCCACCCATAAATCCATTCAACTGCTTCTAATGTATGTATGTGCTAATAGATATGAAACAAAATGGCTAGATGTCAAGTTGCTAAAAAAGGGTGCACTTCAATAAACAATCGCTGAATAGAATCTACCAAGGTATAGTTGGGAGGCGATGGCTGAATAAAAAGACGATGGATGGCAGTATATCATCATACAAAGAATAGACTGATAGTTACAAGTAGCAGAAGAAATGATTTGAAATTTTCCATCCATTGTACACCATCTACCTACTATAGCAGAACCTAATTACACATGACCATAGCAGTAGCAGTCAAGCATAGAAACCAAGGTAGCATTCTACATTCACACACAATTCTGTGTACGCATGATATGAAGCAACCATACAAAAACTCTTCGCAGAAAAAAATAATAAACTTGTGAGTGACTTATAAAAAACACTCTGACAACTCAGTAACGTCACATACGTACTGGCAATACTGACCAAATGAAGATTGCAGAATGTAACCCTTTAAATGTATTAATCATAATGAAATTTGAAATAATTTACATTAGAAGGTTAAATGATGAAATCGCTATACGGTAGATAAATATTCTAAAAAACAACAGGCTTCATAAACTTAGTTCTGTAAACATAAGTTACAAATAATATTTACAAGTCACACTTTTCAGTACAGGTAGACTTTTTAAGTGTTAAAAGATGACTTCATAAACATAGAAACTCACTTAATGCGAGAGGCTCATTTCCTGTGCATGCGGCAGAGGGCCATAGTGTGGCGTTGTTTACAAAAATGTCTAACCATGAGCCTTTGCGTTTTTAGCGAGCATTGTTATCACTGCTCGGGACTTAATTCCTGTGCATGCACCTTGGATTTAATACATGAGATATCGTCACCTCCATTTCAAAAAATACCTCAAATCCAAACTGAATGACTTCATGTACAGTGGATGGGACAATTAATAATGCTGCATATCAAGGTATTGATAATATACCAATAATTAGTCTGCAATTAAGACCTTCTCAGTAAGTTATTAAACATGAAACTATAGCAACAACTAGGATCAATAAAACGAAATGATAAACATCAAGGTCCCACGCCCCTATCTGTCCATGCACTCCCAGATTCCTGTATCAAAATGGCTTACTGCAAAATACTTTAAGCTGGAATTAATTTTCACTGAAAAGAGTTTTTGGGTGTATTGTTTGGAGTTTGAATGTAATGTCAAATATAGGAAAAAAAGGTTTATTTGCTGGATTTTATTTTCACTAAATCATCCCTTCAAGCAAAAATAGATTCCAAGCAAAAAGTATTTTACAGAAAATGCTTGATTATTGGTAATTTGTAATACTCGAAATTTGCATCACGAAACAAATACGTAATTATCAATGTGATATAATATACTATATGTATGTGTGAAGTTTGAACGTGATCGGTCAAAGCATTTGTTGAAAAACAAAATGGCAATCAGTACGGAATTTTGAATCAAATCTGGGGAAAAAAATTAGGTGCATCATACCGAGTTTGAATTAAATATGTCCATGCACATCCAAGATCCAGTTCCAGAAAGGCAGAAATGCTTGACTTTTAGCACTAAAATGAGTGACATTCAGCCATCTTGAGATACAGGTGCAGACGCACATATGCACTGAGGTGAAAAAACCCAAACAGAGACTAACATTACAATAATTCTAAATGCACAGACATATTCTCCTATATGGGAGCTTTTTGAAAATGTACACTTTGCTGTACTTACAAAATGTATGTATTAAATAAGTTAGAGAGAAAGTCCTAATTAAAAAATTAATAATGAGTATTGCTACCTTGAACACATCAACTGAGACCATTCAAGCTCAATTTTTCAACAATATGCTCATGAAATAAACAAAATTAACATAGTATCATTTTAGAAATGCCAAGAAAACAATTATAGTACATTCATCTAAACATAGTTGAACTCTGGTGACCTTGCCCTTTGTTATATAATATAATTCCCTTTATCATAGTTTGTTTCAATATAAATATGCATTTCATAATTAATTTTGAATACAAACAAGTTTTGGGGTTGAACCAACAGTGGGGAATCAGTCTACCGAATGTCCTTTAAAGATGTAAATATCTTACAAAAACATTGGTGCCGTATTTGTTTAATTATTTTAAGGGACATAATTTCCAGCTTTATTCAAAGTAATTCAGATATTTTAGTATAAAAACAAATGCGTCATCGCATTTAGACGTGAATAGATTCATAAAACATGCAAGATAACAGAAAATCTTAGCTGGCTTTTGTCCAAGTATTTTGTACAGGTGTCTGTAAAAAATTAATGATTCACTGAGACAAATATGAACTGCCTCATTGTGTGACTACTGTATTATATGAAAAGTAAAAAAAAACACCCTTTATGAATAGCTATCATGTTGCAAGCTCTGCTTTGTATGCAAATCAACTTAAATAGTTAGTTGGTGTCCAGTGAAGGGAGAAGTCAACAGTACTGTTGCCTCTTGCAACTTTGAAGTGCGTTTTTAAACCAGTATTATAAAAACATTCTGTTCTAATAGCTGAAACAAATTCCTGTGAACACGTACAACAATGCATATTTCCACTGAGATCAGTGACCTTTGATGTGTATCACCAGTGATCAGTCAAGTAGAAACAGTCAAAATATTTTATCAGATTTTCTCAATTTTTGCATGGTATTTTCATACAGGACATCTGTTGTTCAAACTCAGGGAAGACTTTATACGGATGAATAAGGTGACCAAGTTTGGTGAAGTTTGGAATAGAATTAGTAAAGTTATTATGCACACAATAACAATTATTAACGACGACAACAACGACAACGCCGGACAAAATTTTCCCCTTAATATACCTTTCCCTTCCATCTTTGATGGTACGGGCAAGGTAATAAACGCATGAAATAATGTGTATTATTGATGTAGAGATCAAATGAAATAATGACCCCTATCTCCACACATGTGTTTATATAGAAAAGATTTAAAAGTCATAACCCTTTCCCCAAAATGTTAAATATTACACCATAGAAATGGTAACATTAATGCCCAAATTACCATTCTCTGCAAATAACTGTGCAATGCTAGTATCAAAGACAAGACAATCACTATTCATGATAGCTGCTTGAACTCCTTCATGTATTGACCGCGGAGTGGCCTCCCACGACAGTCTTCTTCGATGACCATTTAATTCTAACCTGTTAAGACAACACACATATCTCATGTTAGTCTGTGATTACACTGACTTCATTTCTATGTTAACTCATTAAGTTAAGGTAGCGAGAAGGTTTTGTGACGTTTTTAAATAAAACATTCTCTGTCTGTTGTCTCGTTCAGAACAGTAATTTAGGTTATATATATCAAAAGACTAAGTATAGAGGTGCAAGTTCGCATAAACTGGACAGACATTGTTTACATAATTATCACGTGACATCAAAAATGGCGAACCTTGTAAAAATGACAGCGATTGTAAAAATCCGCGATTGCGAGAGCACACTGCAGAATTTCCTGGTGAAATTTACGTCATGCATTGTCCGTAATCAAGTGCATTGAAATGCGTCTCCGATAATCAAAAGACCTATTATTCCGATTTCTATGCAGGTTTGTTTTTTTGTCCCCAAATTATTTCATACTTGACACCTTTAACAGACTATTATTCTGTGACAAAGCATTTTCTTTAAAAACCCAGACATATTTTGCATCATCATTATCTTTTGAACGATAACTGCGAGTTTGAATGTCCTAGTCCGAACGCACTTGATTTGGCGGCGGTCCCAATGAGTCGTTCTCGATCAAAACTTCAACTCGAGAAAAACGCGAAAAAAGTTTTGGTTAATAAAACACTGTAGATTTGCTGCATTATTATAAATATACACTAAAAATGGCCAAACATATTAACCACTGATATCATAGAACTCATAAAGAGTGTCAGATAATGAATAATTT